TATATTAGTGTCCCTTATCCGATAGTTATAAGCCTAGTTCGCTAGTAATCTATTTAATACCTTTTATCTAGTTACTACTATAGTCGCTTCTATAAAGCTACTAAACCCCTAAATCCGAGAAGTAATATAATAAAGTGCTCGTTAGCTAAAGTATAACTAGTAAGACGGCTATATAGTAAGAAGTTAACCTTCTCTCCCTCCTCTAAATAAAACGATATACTAAGTGACGCTAAGATATTATTTCTTTATAATAATCTAGCTTTTTTAAGCGCTCCCGACTAGTAGGGAGGCATTCCGCGAGTGCGAATTATCCTTAAAAGCTTAGCCTAATAGCGTACCTAGATTATATAGGTAGAAACGGTAGTAAGGAATCTTAACGTTTAGGAATATATTAACCTAAAGCTTAAGAAAGTAAAGCGACCCGCTCTCCTAATAAAACTAAGCTAACTAGATAAGAGCGATAAAAAATACGATAAGGAGTAAGGCACTAGTTACTTAACGAAAGAGGCCTAGATTAACTATTAATACGATTAAAAGGACTATAATAACGACTTAGCTAACTACCGAATAACCCGACTAGTACTTAATAAGATCTTAGAAAGGATTAGAAATATACTTACTATCGAACTATAGAGTCTTATAGTAGATATTAAGGATATAAGGAAGCTACTTAAATTACTTTAAAAGCGCTTCTTATTCTCCGATATTATATAGATATAATTATTTTATAGGTTATAGTATAAGCTACTCTTTACCCTAGTTAAAGATACTAGTATTAATATTTAGCTACTAAAAGTCGAAAACCTTTATATAGAGTATAAATTAGTAGAAGTTAAGTTTATAAAGTAAGAGAATAATACTATCTATAACTTTCTATAAGCTCTTATCCTAATTAAACCCTAATTCTACTATTAATAGTATATTAAGATCTTTAAGAAAGAGTAAAAAGTAACTTTTATAAATATTATAAGTATTTACTATTTAGAAAGAGTACTTTTTAATAAGAAGAAAAAGAGTAAAGCCTTATATAGTACTTTCGCGACTTTTAATAGTAAAGAAGAAGCTAAATAAGCTACTTCTTCCCTAACTAGTAATAATAATTATAGTTTAAATAGTTTAAAATCGAATAAGTTAAAGAAAGACCTTTCTCTATATATATATAGAGGAAAGTATCTTTTTATAGTATACCCCTACTTAACTAAGATATTAAGGCCTAAGAACTAGAAACCTAACCTAGAAATTATTAAGAAGATACTAGAAAATATTAAGATACTCTCTAAAAGAGTATAAGAGAAAGTAAAGGAATTATAAGTAAAGCTTACTATATAAGAAGCTTTAGATTAATCTTACTTTACTCTTATCGATAACGATAAAGGAGGAAGTTTCCTAACTATACTACCTAAGTAAGCGATAAAGTAAGTAACTAAGTAAGTTAAGTAGTAAGCTTTACTTTAACTATAGCTAGTACTATCTATCCTTTCGCTAATTAATACTATATTCCTAATAAATAGTCTTTAATACTTAATTAGGAATAGATAGCTAGTTAATTTAGTAACTAGTAAGTATATCTCTAATAATAGAAGCCTTTTTATTAAATTTAAAGAGATAGATAGCCTTCTTAAGGTTAGAGATA